AGGCACCATCTAGTTCTTCTGGTCTCATAGTCATGTAGGTTGCAGATTACATGGTGTACCAGTCACTAGGGCTAATTCTTGCCATGCATCTTTGGTTTTCTTCATTCTTCTTTGGTCTGGACAAGGAGAGACCCATTGTTGCATCTAGATGGCTGCTTGCAAGCTTCTAAGATCCCAGTCGCTACTCGCCAAAGTAAGAAGTAGAACAATGTTTTGTGTAGTATGTTATGCCAGTTGAGCTTGATGTTCCCTGTGACTATGCCTCGAGCCCACAGGCTCAACTACTCACTTGTTCCGGGTAGCTGGCTGTGGCCAAGAAGTAGCTACAACCTTGTTCCTTGTCAGCTCTACTATACACCTGGAAATTCTTACAGAACATACCAATACACTTATAGAAATATTGTCTGCCAATCCTATACATGGTCTTGGGTACACTCCACCCTGCATGGACATATCTAATAGTTCAGCCTGTGCACCCATCCATCCATCCATATAGCCATGTTTGCCTTCATTGACAACGCAGTACTGTATGTGCAAAAAGGTTCATCTTTGTCGTCTGTACCTTCCATGTACCCCTCTATGTCTTCCTCTTCTTCAATGCCACTGTGTTGATCACTCACATCTGGTACATTGCCCTTCTCTTTGCCCACATCAATACTTGTTTCTACCTATCTAGAAGTAGGTTCCATCCCCTTCCCTCCCACCCCTGGTAACCAAGAAAGAAAATTTCCTTCCATATATAAACCTTTCCTTGACTTTTTAAAATAATGGACTAATACAATATTCATCCTTCTGTGATTGACTTATTTCACTCAGTGTAATGTCTTCCAAGTTCATCCAAGTTATGTGGTGTTTTGCAGATTCTAGGTTATTCTTTAGGGATGCATAGTATTCCATTCTGTTTATGTCCCATAGTTTCATTATCCATTCTTCAGTTGATGGACATCTAGGTTGTTCCCATCTTTTGGCTATTGTTAATAGTGTTGTGGTGCAGGATTGTTTGTCTTTTTGTTGTTACGGTGTTGACATTTTCTATACATTTTAGAGATTAGCCCCTTGTCCAATAGGTCGTTGCCAATTTTTTTTTTTTTTCCCCTCCAGTCTGTGGTTTTCTTTGTATTCTTTGGGTGAAATCTTGTGATGTGCATTAAGTGTCTAATTTTTAGAAGATTCTAGTCATCCATTTTTGTCTTCAGTGTTAGTGTGATTTTAGTTATATTTGATAATGTATTTAGGCACTGACATAGGGCCCCTACATTTGTTCCTATTTTTTCTTTTATGGTCTTTATGGTTTTAGGTTTTACATTCAATTTTTTGATCCAATTTGAGTTTGCTTTTGTATATGGTGTGAGATACGGGTCCTGTTTCATTTTTATGCAAATGGCTATCCAGTTTTGCTAGCACTGTTTATTAAAGAAACTATCTTTTCCCCATTTAATGAGCTTTTGGTCATTTGTCAAATATCAGCTGTCCATGTTGTTATGTGCCGTCGAGTCGGCCACGACTCATAGCGACCCCTCCTTGGGTTTCTGAGGCAGTATCACTATGGAAGTAGATTGCCCAACCCATAGGCAGGTGGATTTACTTCTGGGTTCTCAATTCTGCTCCATTGGTCTATGTTTCATTGTACCAGTACCAGATTGTTTTAACTACTGTGGCTGTATAGTAGATTTTGAGATCGGAGAGTATGCCCCTACTTTGTTCTTCTTTAGTAGTGCTTTACTTATATGGGGTTTCTTTACTTTCCATATAAAGTTGGTGATTAGGTTTCACCCAAATCATAATTAAAAAAAAAAAAACAACCAAAAAAGTTGGTGATGTTTTTCTATCTCTTAAAGAAAGATGATGGAATCTGGACTGGGACTGCACTCTATCTGTAGATTGCTTTGGGGAGTATTGACATTTTCCTGATGTTAAGCCTTCTTATCCATGAGCATGGTATTGTCTTCCATTTATGTAGGTTTCTTTTGGTATTTTTAATAGTGTTTTGTAATTTTCTTTGTATGTCTTAAAAGTTTTCAATCAATAATCATAATCATAAGAAATGTACTTCTAGGGGTAAATAAACAGCTTCTCATGGCTAATGCATGCTAAACTTCCTGGAATCTAGAAACAAAGAATCAGTTGTCATTAACTCAATTCTGACTCATGGCAATCCTATGTGTGCCAGAACTGAATTGCGTTCCACAGGGTTTTTAATAGTTGATTTTTCAGAAGCAGATCTCCAGGCCTTTCTTCTGAGGCATCTCTGGGTAAACTTGAATCTCTACCTTTCAGTTAACTCCTGAGCTTATTAACTGTTTACACTACCTATAAACCTGTTTATCTTTTTTTTTTTTT